CATGGGGGAAGCTTCTGGCAGCTTCTCACAGAAGCCACCCCTATAGCCCCCCCCCAGTACCAAAACCTTGCCATGCAAACGCATAACACGTGTTCTGCGTCAGGGGTGAACAAGGGACAATGCTGGAGGGGCAGAAATTGTCCCAGGCTTCTGTGCTCAGCCATGCGCTGGGACCCGGTCTTGGCTGCACTCCTGCCACTGTGTCCACTCCGGGAGGTCCTGTCTGCCCTCTCGGGGCTGCGGCTGCCCTTCCTTGCTGGGTTGCACCTGGGCAGGAATCCATTTGTCAGGTGTTTTCCTGTGTTGAACCACAAAAAACCTCTGTAAAAAAAAGTTTTGGATCAGGTTAATGGACAGCTCTGTTACAGTTCCAGTGCTAAGATTTTTGGTTTGCTTTGCTTTTTTCCTCTGAAATCTTTATTTGTGAAGATAACTACAGTATGAAATGTTTTGATCTGGAGACCTGCGACTTGTCTGTTGAAGTGTCAAAATGTGGTGTTTACTAGGGAGCTTCAAAGTCCTTTTTACAAAGCCTTTTAGATAAGGAGATCTGTTTCAACCAGTCTCTCTTCAGTGCCATGCTGTTGACACCAGGAAGGAAAGGGCCTGTGACAGATTTCTGCACACCGGCCACTGCAACAGGGTCAGAATCCCACTGAGAATGCAGAGTCCGAGTGAAGGTTTCCAATTAGTCTTTCATTAGTTTTTAGGTTACAGCTCGAGCTGGGAGCCTCAGGAGAGGGATCCCTACCCCAGTTCACACCCCTCAGTTACACCCGCACCGCCCGTCAGCCGATCCCCAGGTCCAGTTGCTTAATTCTGGTCACCGGTCTCTTGGTTTCTTACTGTTTTCACTGTTGCTGGGCTGGCCGCCTTCTGAACTTACTGCATTCTCTTGGAATCGTCCCGTTGGTCCACCCGTATCCGCTGAATTCAGGGAGTTCTTTGTTGGCAGCGTTAGTTTTATCAAAAAGTTTACGCTTGGCCAGCCCTTGTGGCCTGAGGTTTCAGCTACTTCAGCTGCTAACGCCAAGCCGCTGATGCCGAACGAGACTGTTCAGAGAGAAGAATATAGTTAATCAGATTTCTTCTGTGACAGGGACGACCCTGCCCAGCTCTGCTAGTTCTGTCGCGGGAGAGGGGGCTGCCGTATTTTGTCTGTGCTGCTGCGGTGTTCACTGCCACGTTGCTCTCTCCCGGCAGATAACGTCACCCTGCAGATTGACGGCGTGCTCTACCTGCGGGTTATGGACCCCTACAAGGTACCGTCCCCGCTGCGCCGACCCTCGCCCTGCGTCAAGCCTGCGGCCCCCATGGCTGCG